GAAAGGGCAAGCATGTTTGGTGTGACGGGATTCGAACCCGCGACCCGCAGATTGCGAATCGAGTGCCCTAACCTTCTGGCCATGCCGGGCTCCTGTAAGTAATCCTTGATTAGTATTCTGATTGGTGTATATTTTTATCTTCTTCTTAATAAAGTCTTATACATTGGACCACTCGAAAGAGTAGTTTCTGTAGTAGGAGGCTGTTATGACCAGTCAACCACTGGGGATTTCTGATATCTCTTTAGGTGATTCATCATCAGACTCATCAAACACAACTTGATAAATACTTTCATATTCCTCCTCCTAATTAGTTAAACTGAGATACTTCTTATTTGTCTCATCTTTTTCAGGCTCATTGGTCTTGTTTTCTGATTCATGGGCCAACCAGTGCACAAGAGGTTCATCTGTAACATATGATTGCCAGTTACCCATGTGCTGGGCATACTTGTGCAAGCCCTAAGCATGTGGTATATCATATGTAAATAAACAGGGGTGGCTTGCTGGGGCTGAAGCTTCCCCAAATTGTGTCTTAGTCTCTCCATTACTCCCCACACCCAATGAATATAATTTCTTGTTAAAACTAGCTCCTTCATAAGTACTACAGTATGGGTGCCCACAAGGTGTAGAGTGTAGCCTGTCCCCTCACTGAGAAGAGACTAGCGACACCTATGGACCAACTTCTCTGAATATTAGGTGGGAACTAGTCCAACCAGAACCAAACAGCTTTCATGATTCAGGCATGTTCAATTTCTATATACAGTCTAAAGGCTGGAATATTCTTTCCATGACTGTCTTGTTGTAGCATCTCTTTTTTGTCATGTGGCTGTTTTCTCTAGCTCATGGACTACAAATGCATGAAACCTAGCCAGTACTGTTCTTAACCACTCCATATGAGCTTGTGACCATTGCAGTGCTGTAGAACTAGGAAGTGAGCCATATCACTTTGTCTCCTCTTTAGACCAGTGATTTCAGACATTCACTTACCGTGCCAGTTGGCAGTACAGCTCGTGTTAATAAACTTTATCCATCAAATATACTTTTCTGCACAACTATGTGCCTATCTTCATGGAGAGGTTCTGTACTAATCCATTGATCACCATCATTGATGAAGGCTCACCTTCATCCACTAACAAACTCTTACCCCTGACTCTCGGCTAATTACCTCTGTTCACAGAGAGGTTAAGTGCTTTGCAGTTGATCACAACTTCCTTTGTTTCATGTGAGTACTTGTTGTCTCTCTTACTGATGTAATGGCTCACCTTGGTGGGACTTTTCCGTTGCAGAGAAAATTCTTTGAACTCCATTGCACAAGGGCTTGCTTCTCACCTGCTGCCAAAACAACTCTTGTTGGTGAAGCTTACCTACAAATGGCACCTTATGGTTTATTCTCATCCCAGCCAGGGATCACTCCTCTTTGCCAGCCTTCCAATTACTAATTTCATTGGAGAGAACCTTTTGTTTTACCTATCATCAAAACAGCACATTTTGATGGAACTCATCCACAAATGCTGTTTCTCATCTTTCTCCTGTGGGTGGCGTTCTACCTTTCTGGTTAGCATATCTCTTGAAGTTCTGGACAAACCACTCCATTTGGTTTCAGACACACAGGCTTATGGTTGCAGTGTGATGGCCTCTAAGGGCCCTCACAGCAACAGCAAAACTCTGAAGCTTGGGAGAAAGCTTCCCCAGATCTGGCCATTCTACTTGCAGACCATCCTGCCTCAGTCCATAGACCACAAACATGTCTTTATGTTAAAAACCATCTTTTACCAGGGCCTCGACAAGCCTGGTTATTCTCCGTCTCATGAATACTGTACACTCTGAAACTATAAAAATATTTAGGCACAG